AGGAAAAAAATTGGGTAACTGGGATGTAAGAAATAGTAGCTAGTTGACGACGATGCTTTAATTTTCTTTTCATAATAAGTTCGCGATCAAAACAGTTGTCGCAAATGGTGCAGATAAGAATGTTTTTTCCAAAAAAAGAAAAACTTAGTGAAGCAATAGGGCAATGATCAGGATCAAGCTTTTTATTTTTAAATTAAACTGACAGCCTAATCTTTACAGTGTAGATCGCCCTGCTGTTGCCAATCTGACAGGTTTCCACAAATTCTTGACTACTTTAGTGGGTTCTCTATAGTTCAGAACCAATGGAAATTTCGAGATACTTTGAAGGTGGAATGAGTGGAATGAAGAAGTAAAAAACCTCTCAACTGCATGACTCTGCCATCAAAACATCTTGGATTGTGATTGGTTCTGTATAATATAGAATTAATTCATTGTATTGATTAGCCTGTTCCAGGCTCCAACGGAAGATAGTGGGGAAAGCGGATCGACAGAAGTTGCGCAAAAGCCACTTGGGGGCTGGGGAGAGACCAAGTCTCCCCTTCTCTAGTCCCGCCGTTTTTCGCCATATTTCATTGCTCGCTCTCTTTTCTCGCTCGTCTGAACGGACCGAGAACCTGGCACAGGCTATGTATAGACCTCTAGCTTCTATGGTTTGGTTTCCCAATAGAAGTCCCAGGGAAACTTGACCCTTTGTCTCTTCATAAATTATGCGTAGATATGCACGTGATCAAGACGTAATTTGACAGAGACAGTTCTGTAGAGTGTTATCACATGACCTGCATTAGGAAAACAAAAAATAGAGGCTAAAGAGGTCTATTGATCATAAGGTTGCCCACGAGAGTGGGATGGATCCGTGTTGAATTGTCACAAGGGACCAAGGAACTGTTTTAAGGAACGAATTTAGACCCAGTTTCCCATGCAACCTCGTAGTGGCTTATGGGCGGATTCATCGTGACGTCATTTTTGCTCATTCGCATACGAGTTAACCCACAGAAAAAGTAACCGTATATACCAACTAGGTTCAAAAATTAAAGAGCTGGTTAATTTATGCAGTTTGTGCAAGTTTCAGCTCTTTGCAATCAGTAACAAAGAAAAGAACAGCATTAAAAACTGAAAAATTACAATAATGGCCTCATACATTCTTTGTAATTTGGGGGGGGTTTTCAAAGACAATTTCTCCGAAACTAGTTGGTATATCGGGCTGAAATTTTCAGAGAGTGAAGCTGTTATGTTCTTTCAATATTCCGAAATTTCAATTTATCATCTTCATCAGAATAATGAGCCTATGCTATTGAGGCAAAAAATGAAAACATGGATTCGTCTATAGAGATGAGATAATTTCACCCAAAAAGTCCCATAATGCGATTCGACACAACAACGACTCAGTGTCAGGTGGTTCGGACATTGGTGAAAACTTTGTCGAGTGCAACGGGGGGGTGATTTGCTCTGTAAATTGCCTTGCAGAATATATATTTTTTCCTCGTCTGATCTCGGTCAACTCCTTTGACACTAATCGTAGATGTTTTTTCTCAGCAATAAAAAAGATGTGTTCTATGAAATTGGCACCCATAAGCGAGACTTAAGGACAGCTAATGAATCGTTTGCCTTAAAATTCAAGCCTGTTCTTCTTGGTGTATTCCTTTTTACAAAATGAAACTCGTAATCAACCAAAGGCCCGTTACATCAAATCAGTTGGTGATTTATGGAGGTGATTTTTCAATTGTAAATAGTATCACATACAGTTAACATACATGGACGTTTTTAAATTTACTTTAATAATAGGCTGAAGTATTGTTAATTAGGTTTATTTTTATGGATTCGAATACGTTTTATTTGTTATACGTGTCGAAATTTACAGATAAAACAGCTTTTGTACCAGTGCTCCGATAAATTTTTAGTTTTTTTTTTTTGGCCTTGGTTTCTCATTGCTGTGCTTTCCAGCTGCTTACAGGGGCGGATCCAGGTTTTTTTTTAGGAGGGGGTGCACTCGTCTCTTGTTCTACTTCAACACCAATAAACCACATAGTTTTTTTTTTCTGCAGAATACCAGTTGTATTAGAAAACCGTAGGTCATCTCAGGGGAGGGTGCCCACCCCCTGCACCCTCCCTCTAGATCCGCCCCTGGCTTAAGTTTTGAATCAACTGGTAGCACATTTTTCCAGCGTTTGACAAGACTTCCTGTGAAGGACTGGAACCTAAAGAACGTTCTGGTCAGTCCCAGTCCCTAAAGAACGTTCTGGTCAGTCCCAGTCCCTCATCCTACTACCCATTTTTATTCAGACAATCAATTGCTCACCTTTGTAGCTGAGTCAATAGATATTTGCTTCGATTTCTCATTGGCTGATGAGATCAATTTGTCCGCGTCTTGTTTCAATACGTAACGTTTTCTTTGGTTGTCCTTTGAAAACTCTGCATTACAAGCAATTGCTTGGAACAACTCCTTTTAAGGACAACTTACAACTCACAAATAAAACGAATTATCATTCAATGCAAATTTTTCTACGTTTTCGTTGGACGACAGCACATCACTTGACCTGCAAATAACTGCCCACAAATAATGGTCTGCTCATATGCAATGTAGTCCAACTGTGTTTGGCTGCAAATAATGTTCTGCCCATCCGTAAATGAAACCAAGCTTTTCTCCTTCATGCGATCGCTTCCAATCCATGAGTTTATTCGTTAAGACTCGATGATCGAATGATAAAACAATTATAAATTTGTTTTTCGGCCTTGGGCGCAAAAAATAAAGAAAGAAATACTGAAAGGAATAATCGCTTGGCACGACTGGAACTAACATGCGAATACAGCTAGACTACGAGTAGTCCCCATAGTAGAGGGTCTCAATGGGGTGGTGGCTTTTACGGTTATCGGCTAAAATTTTGGCTCTTTTACGGCTATCGGTTAATTTTTTTCAGTTACGGTTAACGAAAAAGTTAAAAATTAACTTCTTTTGTTTCAAATTTAAAAGTAGCAAATCTAGGGAGCACTTTCTTTTACGGTTAACTCTTTTTTACGCTATTTACGGCTAACGGTTAAAATTTTTTAATTTTTACGGCTATCGGCTAAATTTTTGGCCGTTTTACGCCTATCGGTTAACCCCATTGAGACCCTCATAGTAGAGCGAGGAAAACGCGAGCGCGCGTGAAAATCACCCCACGCGAGAAAGGCGAGACGCGGTGGGGTGATTTTCGCGCGCGCTCGCGTTTCGCTCGCTCTACTATCTCTAATATAAGGAAAAATGGGGCCTACTCGTAGTAAGATACAGCCGTTTCTCCTTGCTCCTCTTCGCTAGGGATGTTTAGTGTTGTAGGCGAATTGGCTGATCAGAATCACATGTTTCACTGAAGCTTTTTCACCCTTATTTTCATACTTCATAACATACATTTGTAATTAATAATGGGTTATGTATCATTCGTCATTTAATGCAATTTAATCCCTATATGTGGAAAATTTGTAAAAAAAAAATTTTGAAATAATATATTATCATGGCAACAAATTTTTTTATTATGCACCTGTGTTCTCATTTTAATGCTGATAATGCTAATAATTCTAGGTAGTATTCACCTCTTGCAGACAATAGTTTTCACCAATAGAGGATAAAGGGGACAGAGAAGGCATCCCCCATACACACCCTATTCCATAGGTAATTCGTCTCGAGTTATTTTTAGAATCGGGATAAAGTTACCTCGCGCACTGCGTGGATGTTTCGTGGAGGTTTTGCACGACGAAACGCCATGCAAAACATGTCGGGCGAAAGGCAATGAAACCGTAAAGAGATCGAGAGCGTTTCTTAATATTGAAGCAAAATGAGTCGGCGCTCACCTGGGAAAGGGAAATCGCTCGACTCTTTGACAACCCGTGAAATCAGTTTAACTCGAAGTTGTCATAACCTCAGTGCTTTAATAAAATGAGAAATTTCGCCGGTCTATTGAAACCGGTCGTTTGTACAATAAAGCAAGTAGCAAGTAATATTCATATACATGTAATTAGTTTTACAAGTTTGAATTATAAATGATCCTGAGAGAATATTCACTGTGTTAAGGATTTCCTTGCTGTACTGTTAGCTCTATACAAGAGAGGAAGGGCGATTCTTTTTTAATTTCCGTTTCGCTGACACAGCTTTAGCGGAAATCTCTCTTTAGTCGTTTTCGTCGACAAAACGAATAGCAATATTGCTCTCCTGGGTGGTGGCTTTTACGGTTATCGGCTAAAATTTTGGCTCTTTTACGGCTATCGGTTAATTTTTTCAGTTACGGTTAACGAAAAAGTTAAAAATTAACTTCTTTTGTTTCAAAAAGTTAAATATTAATTAAAGTGCCAATCACCTAAAATTTTATATTTTCTTATCTGAAACTATACCTTATTAAAATAACTTCTGCGAAAAAATTTTGTGGTGTGAACAAAACGCGATTTTTTAACCAATTTTTGAAGTCTACATTTTTGCGGTACACCCGCGCCGCTGATCATGCAAACTAGCAGGCTCACATATGACGTCAGGTGACGTAAATTAAGGAACTTGCATTACCCAGCGGTACACAAAAAAGATAAATTACAAGTAAGGATTGAGTAACAATGTCTTCGCAAGAAGAAAGTTTTTCTGAAAAAGAAAAACCTATCAGAACTCTTAATGTTTTCCTGTCGATAAGGTCACGTCATATGACGCCATACTCCGAGAGAAGACTAAGACGAATGGTGTGCAAAAATGGCGGCAAATTTGAACGTTTTTAAAAAATTGTAAAAAAATCGTCTTTGGTTGAAATCGCAAACTTTTTTCGCAGAAGTTAATTTAATAAGGTGTAGTTTCAGATAAGAAAATAATAAATTTTAGGTGATGGGCACTTTAACCTGTATTTTTTGTATCTTTAAATCAAAATAAAGGTCTTCAGATCATCTCGGGATGAAATAAGCTATTCTTTTGAAAAATTTTAACATCGGATGGATCATACTTTTTATAAAGTATTGCACTTCTGATATTATTTTACGCATAGAAATGTCAATAG